AATAATGTGGAGGGCAACAAGAGCTGTTATCCTTTGGAGTTTGGTCTTTATGGGAAGAAAGGACTAACAGGTTATTCCAAGGAATGGAAAGAACCAAGGAGCAAGTCATTGACCCCATAGTTGTTAAGATCATGCATTAGCTGAAAGCAACTGAACTGTTCAAAAATTTCTCAGCTGAGGATATCCCAAGGGGATGGCCAGTGGTGACTAACTCTTCAGCTGCACAAAGTGTGGTTCAACCCCCACAACAAAGAGTAAAATTGAATTTCAATGGAAGCTCATTAGGAAACCCGGGGTCCTCTGGAATTGGGGGAGTTTTCAGGGATGGGGAGGGCAGAATGTAAGCACTTTATACTGGTACAGTAGGCATGGGAGACACTTTAAGGGCTGAAGTTATGTCTCTGCTTCAAGGTATGAGATTGGCCAAGCAATGGGGATATCAAAACCTTGAGGTAGAGGGAGATTCTAAACTTCTAATAGGATAGCTGCAGACAAAAAACTTGGGTGTATGGACACTAAGACAATAGATGAGGGAAATACTTTGCCTAGCAAGAGAAGTGGGAGTAATCTTCAAATGGTAAGGAGATCAGCCAATTCTGTGGCTGATAACTTGGCAAAGCAGGGGACTCTCAAGGAAAGCTTGTTTTGGGCTGTATTGTAAGATTTGAGATTTGTATGGCATCAACACTCATGCTATGAGTAGTTGACACTTTTGTATCTAACTGTTATTTTAATGAAATTTACCGTTTCCAATAAAAAAAAATCATAGGAATGTTGATTGATATGTTAAAAGTAAAATTAGGGAAATAACCCTAATTAATCAATAGTTTTTTTTTTTTTTTTTTTTGCAACAACTAAATGAAGCACTAACTCAAGTCCTTGATTTTGTTCAATAGAAATTTGTCAACATCAAGACATTCAATAGTAGCAAGGCCACAAACATTTGATACATTTGATCATAACACAATCTCCTAACTAATGAAGATCAAGGTGATGAGGTCTCACCAAACCTCCTACATCCTGATAAGAGAATTAATTTTAAGCTCAAAAACCAAATGATGCAAATGGACCTCAAAAACCTAAAGATGCATGCCTATAGAACAAGAACACACTAGACGGAGCCAAGATAGGACCACCAACTATGGTCCACATGATGAAGTTGATCATACTACTAACAGGGTCAATCTCATAGTTGTCAAGGTGACACCTAGGCAACTAAGCACTTTTTATTGCTCGCCTCGCCCAAACGCCAACCAGTATTTATATTATACTTTACATTATTTTACAATATTTTTATATTTTTATACTTTGAGCTCTTAATATTAAAATAGATGGCGATACACCGTAACATTCTTTGTCCAAATGATACAAAGGAGTTCAAAGACTTCGAACTCTTGAAGAGCAAACATCTAGAGCAACCAGAATCAATGAGATAATTGCAAGTATTTTCCTCTGTCAGCACCTTCTTCTTCATTCCATCAGGACCTTCTTCTTCTTCTTGCCTTCAACACCTTCTTTTCTTGAGATAGAAAATAACCCTCTCTGCTTCTTAAACATTTTATTCTTTTTCTTCCATTTATGGAGCAAAAACCAGGGATATGCCCCATCTTCTCCTTTTTCATTTGATTTTTTTTCTTATCTTTTTCCTAAAACAAGAACAGGGGCTCCACCCCATCATCATTTTCAATGCTTTTTCTTTCAATCCTTTTTTTTTTTTTTTGAGACAAGAACAGTGGCTTTGCCCCTTCTCTTTCATTGTTTTTGCTTTCTCTTTTCTGAGACAAAAAACAGGTGCTTTGGCTTTCCTTTTCCTTATTTTTCTGATTTTTTTCTTCTTTTTTCTATGACAAAAACAAAGTTTTAGCCCCTTGAAACACTAAGAAAGGCAAGGTTATATTTCCTTATATTTCTTAGACATTAGCCATGAAACATTAGGAAGAGAAGGATTATTTCTGAGAAACAAAGCTTGAAGCACTAGGACACAAACCTTGAAACACTAGGAAAAGCAAGGTTATATTTGATACACTAGGTGACACCTAGGCAGGGGCACCTAAGCGACTAGGCAACTAAGCACTCCGGTCGCCTTGCCACCTTGAAAACTATAGTCAAGCTAGAACCTTTAGAAGATTCATAGTTACCAAAATCTTCATGTTCATTACTGAAATTGCATTATTTTACAAGTTCATAAGTGTGGATTAAAAATAATATCCACATTTCATTAAATGAGATTTTTTTATGGATATCATTAAGTGAGAAAACTTAGCATTATCAAAAGCTATAAAGAGTTAAGTCAATATACCCGCATCACCCCCTTTCATCTAGATGTTTCATCTGGTTAACCAGATGAACAACTCCAAGGAATGTTCTAAAATAATCATGTTTCCAATTAACATATTTAGATAGTCTCTTCTAAAATTGAATATTTTATTGATAAAGCTATGTTAGTAATCTATTTATAAAAATAATTATATTTTACCTTAATCTTTTGTATCTTACTTGCAACTCAGTACCCATATACCACAAGGAAATACAAAACAGAAATTAAAATGAACAATAAACTATGAAATATTAATTAAGTTTGTCCTTTGTCTTTTAATGTGGACTGCTTCTACTATAATTTATGAACATTACAGCTGTTTCCATTCTCTAGGAATACTCCTTGAAGTGTTCAATGTACAAATTAAGAAAAGATCTAAGCTTTCTTTGGAACTTAATGAAATTCTAGAAGCATTACTTTTCTCCTATGGTAGAGATGAGACTCAACCGTGGCATATTACTAAAGATTGCAAAACTGTTTACTTAGGTGATAGTGTCACTCTACCTCTTATCTTTTTCGTTGCCTCTTTTTCAAGCTGTGACTCTATCTCTGCTTTAGTTCATGAATTGTTACCACCATAAGATCTAGAGAAAGACATTTCCTGTCAGCATGAATCACCTTAATTATGTCAATATGGTCCAAAAGGAGGCCACATTAATATGTCAGCATCCTCAGCAAGCTGAGCAAAATGCTTGAAATCTTCAGTGTCGATTCTGAATTTCTAATGCTTGCAGCAGAGGACCAATTCTACAAAAAGTTGTCCCATCTCATTATTCGCTAGTAGCAGTTACAAAATCCAATTCCTAAACCATATCTGGAGTTAAACAAATCTTATTTCCTTCAATAATCAAACCCAAGGAATATGTTTACAATCTCTCTGAGATGGCATTATAACAGTCTAAAGCCTACTTGCATTTCTACTAAGAATTAGATTCCTTCTTCCAAAAAGCTCTAAAGGGCATTTACTAGTGTTGCTTTGCATCTTCAGGACCTGAATTGTGGCCCCTGTGGACAGGCTTTGGAATCAGCTGATCAGCTGAGTATTCTTGTTTGATCTCTGCAAAAAAACTGGGATTATTTGCTCAAGGCAGCTGGCCTAGGTTGGGTAATGCCTCTATCAGTTAAAGATCTAATCTGGTGCTGGAAGCTCCCTGGCCTGAGCAAAACAGCAAACCTAGTGTGATAGTCTATTCCTACTGTGGTCATAGCAACTATTTGGACTGAAAGGAATAACCATATCTTCTGTAATAGAAGGAAAAGTGTAGATGAGTTAATTAGAATTGCTGACAGTAGGCTGTCGTCCTAGGTTTCTGTTAAAGAGTTTAAGCATCAGTCCATCCTGCGAGGTCTGTTGTTCCACCAGGACCCTGTTGTACCATGTTTTGTTCTATCAAAAAATTTCATTACTTTACCTTTTCAAAAAGAAAATGTTGGTCCCAGCTATCTGGGGCCTTGGGAAGGGTAGAGCGGACACAATCCTAACATTTGGCATTTTTGTGCAGATAGTCGGTTGCTCTCAGCATTGAAAATGCATTCTCAAACTTACCAGCCTGAGATTTTACCATTATACCAAATACTTGTAGCACTGAAAAATAGCATAGAAAAACAAGCACATAATAGTAGAAAGAGCATATGCAATTTCCATATAAGTATACAACAGGAGGCCGCATACATACTGGATAAATATTCACACTCGGAAGTGAATAGAACCATACTGCATACTTCCATAAAGTACACATGCCATGATATCATATACATGTGTCTTGTATACATTTGATTACTCTAGCCAACAATATACACAGCACAAGCCAGACCTCCTAAAGAATTAGGTAGTTCAAACCAGTAGAACAACATTGGCAAGGAGGATTATCTTACTAACCAAAAAGATTAATAACTTTGAGCTCAACATCATCATCATCATCCAAGCCTTATCCAACTATATGGGGTTGGTTACATGAATCCTGTTTCACCATTCCGTTTTGTTTAATGCCATATCCATTATTAAATTATGAGCGCTTAAATCATGTCTTACTACTCCCATTGATTTCCCTTTTTATCTTCCCCTAGCCCTTCTAGCCCCTTCAACCTGCAAAGATCACTTCTTTAAACAGGTGTTAATTGTCTTCTATGCACATGACCAACCATTACCATGAGCTCAACATGCTTTGTATTTTTTTCCTTTTGAAGCTGATTTTAAACAAGAATACTCAAAGAGTTAGAAAAATCAACAAGCGGGAAAAGCAAATAATCAAGATGATTAAAGAAAAGAACAAACAACAGTTCCCTCCAGTTCCCCTTCCTAAATAAGTAAGAAACTTTCCACGGTAATTAAGATTACTATTGTACGGGACCCATAGAAAAAGAAAGAAAATCCATTGATAAACAGAGAAAGCAAAATATCGGTGAACTCAGCAAATAACATGTAACAAATGGAGCCACCAACACATACATAAAAAAAAAAAAAAAAGACAAAAGAAAAAACTAAATCTCATGAAGCAAAGAAGAAGAGAAAGGCTATACATTCCAGTTTTCCTTCTATTTAGGATGTTATGTTTGAGCAAATTCTGGAGCAAACTTAATTACAAACAACAACAAGGCTCGAATTTTCATTGAAAACATATAAAAAAAAAAAACACGTCCAGTCAATAAAGGAGAAAAACAGAGGAAGATCATGCAAAAATACCACGGAAATACCGGATAAGACCCTTTTCTTCAATCACCCACCAAAGAGAATCAAACCTTCCATCTTCACAACGCAGAAGATTACGAACCCAGTAGAGAAAAAACGAGACCCATATAGCTAATTTCATCCAAAAAGTCGACTCCTTTTATTTGAAAGAGAACTTCATCCTTTTTTCTCTCTTTCCATCCGAGATATTCCTTCCCAACTCGGACAAATCTTTTCCTCTTATTCTAAATATAAAGCTGTTCCTCCGCAATCCATGGCGCCAAAAAAGCCCAATCCCTCCAAAGCAAACCACCCCGGCTTTCAAGTTTCTCAAGAAACCCAAAAAGGAAACAAAAAGCAATGAAACCCAAAAGCAAATCCAAATAAACAATAACAAAAACTAACAACAACAACAATAACAACCCATCTCCTGATTCTTATCAAATTCACTAACTAGAAAATCACAGAGTTCTGCCATACAACACAATTCAAATAAAATCGAGGAATGACTTATCGGATTTTCTCATACCTTTTCTCGTTGGAATATCTATTTGACCTTCTGCGAGGAGAGGAGAATTTCAACTGTGGAACTGGCGTGTTGGGCACTACAAAGAGAGAAGGGACCAAGCACCAAATACCTAAAAATATTCTTTTAGGATCCGAAGCCCAGTAAAACTAAAAAACTCGGGTTTCTGGTAGGTTGGCTACGCTTGGAAATATAAAAATAGTTAAATAGAAAATAAAATAAAGATATAAATAAAATAACAATTAACAAACAATCGTGTTCCAGCAAAGAGAGCGGATTTGGTCTTCACAAATTTGCGCTTATTCAATTGTTACTGACCTTTTCACTCGTACATTGGGAACATCTCTATGATTTTATTCTTTTATTCATAGAAAATGTTTCTAATACACGGCTGTAAGGGTGTAAAGAGTATGAGAACGATGTGTGATAAATTTGTGAGCCAAATCCAATTCCATTAAACACACGTGCAAATGATTGTAGCCGTTGGATCTGTTTTGTCAGATAGTCAAAGAATGACGAGTGTCCCCGACCTTTACGTCATCGTCAAGAACCAATTCTTTCGTCCACGCACAGTGCAACAGTTCAGCCGCCTGACGCGAATCACCGCACCCAATTGACCGACCACTCCGCACTACGGCAGTCCGGCTCTCCTTTTTCACTATTTTATGGTTTGAGCCCGGTCTCAGAATATGCCACGTGCCACGTATTCTAATACAAGATGCATAGATGTAAAATTCTCGTTATCATGCTTTGTATTCATACTCTATTTTGGATTTTTCCATATCAGCCCCACATAACGACCCAAGAGAGGGTGTGTAACCCTCTTCTCTCTCCCATATGAATCTTATTCGAATTGGTTTAATGGGTGCCTTAATTTGGAGTAACTATAAAATAAAATGTTTTTTTTTCTGAAAATAACTTTCAAAGGTTTCATCACCACCATTTCACTTAACTGATGGATGGCGATTCCAAATCAGCCCACGTAAGTTATTTTATAACACTCACAAATTGTATGCTTATTGACCCCTTCTAGAGCCATGTAAAATAATGACATAAAATCAAAAAATAAAAAGTCAAAAGTCCAATGAAACAAAATAAAATAAAACATAAAATAAAAAATAAAAAAGTAAAAGTTAAAAAACATAAAATAAAACATTAAAAAATATAGTAATAAATTATAAAAATCAAAATAAAAAATAAAATAAAATGAGAAGGAAAGGTTAACAATATTTTTGGATAATTAATATGAAAAGGTAATAATAACATAAATATGTTATGGGTACACCATCCGGCAGCGCACTGCGAAGCAGTCATAGGCAGCAGCACGCATGATAGGCCGCACAGCAGCAGGCACCGCCAGGCAGCAGTGCGCACTGCATGCACCGCACGGCGACACGCACCGCGCACCCACCCGGCACCGCACGACAGCGGCACCATGGCGCGCAGCACGCATCGCCAAGCAGCAGCGCGCACCGCACGCACTGCACGGCAGCAAGCACTGCACACACACCCGGCACCACACGGCAGCGGCACCATGAGCTGCGTGCACGCACTGCGCGGCAACGACACCATGAGCCGCGCGCATGCACCCGGTAGTAGCAGCAGAGCGGGGCCCACACGACAGCTCATAGGGGTGGGCCCACCCTTATCTGGACACGTCAAGCCAGCTCGTTGCCAGCCTACCTTATCCTTATCTCATCCCTTATCCCTTTCTAATCTTATCTTTATCTTTATTTTAAGTAAGAGTGAGTTACCATTAGGAGTAGGTAATTAGAAGTTTGAGTTCAAATTGGAGTTTGAGTTTAATTAGGAATTCTCTTCTGTACTCTCCTATTTAAGGAGCTACGAATTGAAATAAAAGATTCAGTTTTTCCAACCAAGAAAATAGTGAGGAGAGTTCGGGTGGTTGCTTGGACAAATCACCCCAAGGGAGAGTTCGGGTGGTCTCTTGGACAAATCACTCATTCAGTCCCGCAATAGGGTCTGCACGCAAGGGAAGGCAAGGCATTCGCACCGTGGACCGACCCGTGACGGGATCCTACGCGCGGGACCATAACAAAATACACATCATCATCATAATAATAATAATAATGATGATGATGATGATGATGAAAATAAATAGAAACTGTAAAATAATCAAAGAGAGAGAAAATATAACAATTAAAGGGGGCTATTAAAAAGGGAAGAAGAAAAGAAGAGGAAAAAGAAAAAGGGGAAAGTCACTTTTGTTCCGATAGGGTCAACTAAGAAACATCACTCTATCCAATCTATAAGGAAGTTAGAGAAGAGTTATACTACCATAAAAACTCAAATTAAATAAATAAATAAATCAAAAACAAAAAAGAGAAAAAGGTGAGTAAAACAGAAAAACTTTGATTTTCTTCTTTTATGTACCAGTTTGGTGCGAGTTAGTTCAGGTTCAACCCTAAACTGGTAGCAGAAGTCTCCTAACTCTTTTTTAGAGTTAGATTTTTCTTTCTTAATTTGCCTCTTTAAGCATATGTCATTGCACAAATCTAATCCTACTTGTTTTATGATTTGAACCAAATACCCAAATGTTAAAGTGGTAACTACGTCGTGGATTGGATGGCCTTGACTTAAGACCACTTCTCCATCCTCATCCTTTTTTACTGAATTAAGGATGTAATCTCTTTCTTCTTGAATAAGGTAATTATTCTACCAACCTTTGAGTTGTCCAGTAAAGGAATCGGTTATTACCATAGCAATTATTTTTTTCTTCATTTCAAGCTAATTTACTAGCACTAGCATACATATCCATATGATGGATCATTCAATGGATTTGGTATTCTGATTTTCCATCTAGATTTCATTCATATAAAGTATTTCCATCATAGCTAACTTGAGATTTAGCTAGTTCCTCAAATAATAAGTATACCAGTGTATTAGGAAAATAAGGCTTTTTACTTTTATACGAGAGCTTATTTAGCTCTATAGAGGGATTTTCTACCGGTTCTATTTCTGACTCGATTCCCTTCTCTGATTCTTCATTTAATAGATTTATTGAATAAGAGCCAAATGACTTTTCTTCTGATACTTGTTTTTTAGAGGATTCTCCTTGTTCCCATTTAGAGTTTTATAATGAAATCATTTTTGTTGCTCGTTCCTTATAGTCTATTTTAGACAAATCTAGCGGGGCTTTCTTAATTCTCATGTTTAACGGGAATTCTCGCACCATTCCCATGGGTTTTTCTCTTTTACTATTGTTGTTTTCTAATTAGAGATTTCTAATGAACTCAATAATGTTTCTATCTGGTTTGTCTGTTTGCCTAGAACATTCAGATATATGTTTGTATTCTTATTTTGTTTTATTATTTGAGAACAATGTTCTAGGATTACCGTTTTAGCTTCTTTAATTATCATAGAGTTTTTTATTGGGCTTGCAATTATCTCTTCTTTTCCCATCTTGATGGATTCTAGAGGATAATGTACTGATTCTATGGTTTTACCAATAGAATCAGTTTTCCATGCTCTAGATAATCTTTTAGGATCACAAAGATCTAGATCCTCTTATGGGGGTTTTGCATTTCTAAACTACTTCTGATTTACGAATCAGTCCCAAAAGGGAATGTTTTCTCGTGATTCTATCATATTTTCATACCAAAGCTCTCTAGTACAATCCCTTTCTTTTTTTAGAGAAATTTTCAAAAATCCATCCATATACTTTAGACCATATATAAACAGCACCACGTAAAGCTTGAACCTACAAGAATTAGAACTATTAATGTACCAAACACTACCTAGAACCTTTGGCTATAACCCAAAGCCTACAACCTTCTTGGAAAGATCACTTGGCTAGAACCCAAGTTGCTTAGGCTAGTTGCCTAATTGTTTCACCAAGGCTAGAACCCTTGAACCCAGGGGTGAAGTCATGTTTAGGTCGTGAAGATTTGTGAAGAAAGGCCATTGAAGTTGACTACCTATTAATGGTGAAGTGGAAGAATAAGATGAGGAGATTGTTTAGGACAGGATCTAATAATGAAGAGAGTTATGAAGAATGTAGTACAAGTTCTTCCCTTACCAAATCTATGTCCATAAAAAAATATAAAGTAAATTATAGTAACATAGAGAAGTCACTCCAAAATTGGAATATTCCCAAGATTACACCATCAGAGATCTATAAGAAAGGAATCTTAATCTAAAAATAGACTTTAATATAAGAACTATGGAAAGGACAATCACCTTAGGTAACAAGTCAAAAGATTACCACCTTATAGATAAAAGAACAATAGAAGCTTATAGGAAAAAAGCTGATTATAACTTTATCCACTTTGGCTTAATACAAATAGCCATAAAACCCTTAACAAGACTAGGTCTTTAGACAATAGCTTTAGCCTATTTAAGTGATTCTAGGCATTATAGATGTAGTGACTCCTTAAAAGGAGTAATTGTTATGTTTGTGCCTTGAATTCTTTGTGGCAACCTGCTTCATGAATCCACTCCAAATTAATTTGAGAAAAACCTAAAGGGAAATTTTCATAGTGGTTTATGGTGGATGCATAGCCCGTAGCCCACCACAAATCACCATTGGGTGTGTGGGGGTGCGGCCTTCATCTTATGGGTCTGAACCGAGTATGAAGAGTTATGTATTTTCGGGGGTTTTCTCTATTGTATATAGAGAGTCTTAGTCTTGTGAGAGATGAGTGAGACATTGGGTGTATTTGGGGCTTAGGGTTTTCTTTTGTGAGGGCACAACTCTGTATTTTTCTCCATTGCCAACTTTATGATGGATTTTCTATTCCTCCTTTGCCCGTGGACGTACGCTATAAGCCGAACCATGTAAATCTGTGTGTTCTCTGATTTTGTTTCTCTTTATCTCTACTTTTACTTTCAGGTTGGGTGCCATTCGAATATGTTTTCTTGGGTTCTTTTTTTTTTGCAACAAACTGGTATCAGAGCCCTATTTTTCGTTTGCCACTTATAATACCATCAATGAAGTTTGATGGTAACATCGGTTTCAGTATTTGGCAA